GAGGGAGGCTGAGGAATTTGCAGGACGTTGGGGGTTTAGGGAGTTGCAGGAGTTTGGGGGTTTAAGAGGGTGGGGGTGCTAGAGGGATTTGGGAGCAGATGAAGTTTCCAGGTTTAGGGAGTTGGGGATTTAGGAGTCTGGAGGACTAAGGGGCTGGGAAAGTTTAGGAAGCTTTGGAGGGTTGGAGGTGGGGGTTTTGGGGACAATGAGGGAATTCAGGGGAGTTGGCCTCTTAGGAGGCATCTGTAATATTAGGGTTTCATGAGTTGGGGGGTTGGGATGGATGTCAGGGGTTTGGAGAAGTTTGGAGTGCCGGGATTGAGGGAGCAGTTCCAGCACCCTTCCCCCCTTCCCCTTGACCAGCCCAGGGTCCTGGTACCCCCCGCCCCCACCCAGCCAGGCTGCGCAGCCAGGTGTCCAGCAGCCGTGGCAGGAAAGCTCCAGCTCTGCTTTAGGCCCTGCTGCCACCCAAGCCCCTGCCTACCTTTGATGTAGCCTCTCTCTAGGCGCTGCGTCTGTGGCGATGGCGGCAGGGCCTGAGCAGCGGAGGATAAATGTCCACTCGAGGGGCGGGGGTGGCAGTAGTGCGGAAACCACAGGCCTCCAAGCTTCCTGGATGCATTACTCATCCGCCCACCATCAGTGGAGGCCAAGGGGCGGGCCGAGGGCTGCCGAAAAAGAGCTTCACCCTCCTCTCCCTCCCCCTGGGCCTCGCCCTGGTCATCCCCCTCCCCCATCTCCAAGTCGGCCCCAGTCTTTGCAGGCGGCCTCAATGAAGGTCTTAGAGGCAGGATTCCCCCAGTGCAATTCCCTAAAGCTTCCAAACTCTCCAAAGTTTATCCAACCACCCACAAACCCCCAAACTCTCCATGGTTGAAGTCTGAATTAGTTCATTCGTCAGTGAACATTTCTTGTGCACCTACTGTATTACAAGCACGCACAAAAATTCCTCTCTGGTAGATCCCACATTCCTGTTACCGGTGGGGGAGGCAGAGAGGAGACTAAGTAGTGGAGGGAGATAAAGCAGGTGATTGGAGGAAGAATACAATCTGGGCTAACTGAGGCATGGAGAGATTAAGTGATTTATCCAAGATCACAGTCAATAAGGGACAGAACTGGGATTTGAACTCAGGTGGCTTGGGGCCAGAGTTTGGGTCTTAATCTCTCTCAAAAAACACAGGGAAATAGTTAGCATTTACATAGCACCAACTGTACTAGGCACTCAACATCATTTATCTCACTTAAAGCTCACAATTTTTGCGACAACATGGGTGAACCTAGAGGGTATCATGCTAAGTGAAATAAATCAGAGAAAAAGACAAATGTAAAAAGAAATAACAAAAAAAAAACAAAGAAAAAAAAGACAAATGCCACATGATTTCACTTATATGTGGAATCTTAAAAAGCCAACCAACCAAACCAAACACAAACAGACTCATAGAGAACAAACTGGTGGTTGCCAGATGGGAGGAGGGATGGGGGGTGGACAAAATAGGTGAAGGGGATTAAGAGGTACAAACTTTCAGTTATGAAATAAATAAGTCAGGGGGATGCAATGTACAGCACAGAGATGATAGTCAATAATATTGTAATAACTTTGTATGGTGACAGATGCTAACTAGATTTATCACGGTGATCATTTCATAATGTATAAAATATCAAATCACTATATTGTACACCTGAAACTAATATAATATTGTATGTCAACTATAATTCAGTTTTCTTTAAAACTCACAATAAGCCACTGAGATGGGTACCAATATTATTCCCATTTTACAGATGAGGAAATAAGAGGCATAGAGGGATGGAAGAACTTTCCCAGGATCACAGGGAATGGCTGGGATTTGAACCTAAGCCAACTGGAGCCAGGATCTTAGCCTTGGCTTGGCAAACGGGAAGGTGCCGGTGAATTAATGAGCATTGGGGTGAGGGGAGTTGAATGGTGGTGAAAGAGGCCAGTGAGTCAGGAGAAAACTGATACCCTCCCATCCTGCCCTGCCCCTTCCTCACCAACCCCCCACCAACGCCCCCGGTAGAGGTTGGAATGAGGCAATCCCTGCCAGACAGCTTCCAGATGCTGCCTGAATCTTTCCTGGGGTCCTGGGAAAGGGCTCTGAGGGCTGATTAACATCCTTCGTTAGTTCAAGGAGGATAGGCCAATGATAACAATGATGGTAGTTGTTAGCATCACTTATTGAGCACTTACTGTGTACTGTGCCCTGAAGTCTTTGTGTAAATTCTCTCATTCAATCTCCAATACCCCCTTGCTAATTAAGCTGGATTAACTCAGTCAACAGCAATATCACCACAATAAAAACTACCACCAGCTCTTATAGAGTGCTTACTGGTTATCAAGCACTGTTCTATAGTCTTAGTATTTTATCTCTCAGTCAATCCTGATTGTCTTCTTGTTAATTAATGTTGGCTAACCAAGGGATGTTAAATCAATAATAATAATAGTACCCAGCACTTTTAGAGGATGCAGACTTCCTGTGTGCCAGACATTGTGCTGAGCATTTTCCCCAACTAATCGGTTCCTCACAACATCCCTGTGAGTTAGAGACTTGTTCGTATTCTCACTATACAGATGAGGAAACTGAGACACACAAAGGATTGAGTGACCTTCCCAAGAATGAGAGTGAAGAAATTACTCTGAAGTGGCAGGGGGTGGAATTAAACCAGGAATTTGGAGAAGCTGATTGTGAAAGTGGGGAGTGAGAGTGAACGAGACAGGGGCCTGAGTAAGTCAGTGTCAGGACCAAAGGGAGAAGTGAGGGAAGGGAAAGTCCTGATGCAGCCCCTCACTGACCCAGAGCTGCTTCTGACGCCAGCTTTGTGACTCTGAAACCTGAGTCAGAGTTTCGCTGACTGTCTACATGTGAGGGGTTGTGTGGATCTGGGTTATTGCGCAGGTTTTGAAACTGGTAGGGTTTCGCGGAGGGGTGTCCAAGTGTGTGACCATCTCGGGAGCTGGGAGGGGGCCGTGGGGCCCAGCTGGATGTGCAGAGTGGACACCTGGCAATCCTCACAGCACACCAAGTGCTTGGGCCTGATTGTGCCCTTTGTACAGGTCAGGAAACTGAGGCCCAGAGAGGGTTAAGTGACCTGCCTAGGGTCCCACATGGCCTTAGGAAGAGAGGCCAAGATTCAAAGCTAGGGCTCTCCAGGGGATCCCAGAGTGCAGGGCTCCCTGTATGCACACATGTGCGGGCACACACATACACATATCCACAGTGTTGTGTTCAGGCTCACGTCCAGAGGAAACAAGGAGGGTTTATGAAAAGAGGAGCCTAGAAAATCTGGGTGTGTGTGTGTGCGTTTGTGCACAGCTCTCTGCTGTGTCTCTGCCATTGATAGTTGCATGTTTGCCTTTAGGTGGTGGTATGTGTGGACGTGAGTGTGTTGTGTAGCCCTGTGTGTTTTGTGTTGCTTCTAGGAGTTGTGTGTCTGCCTCTGTAAAGTGGGTCTAGGTTGCACTTGTCCTTGTGGATGTGTTGCTTCCCTCAGTGAGCTATGAGTGTGCCTGAATGTTACGTCACACATCACACACTGCCTCTGCAGTGCTTCCCTGTAACGCAACCTAGAGGATCCCCGTGAGCCTGTCCCAACGCGATTCCTCTCAGCGCCCCATAATGACGACAGTCATTTGGGAAATGAGGAAGGTGGGAGTGCCAGACGGAGGGCGGGCAAGGTCTGAAGGTCAATCGGTCACCCTGAGCCTGCGGGCTTCCTGTGCCTGTCGGGAACCGCCACCGCCCTAGCCACCCCTCCGGGAATACCATCTCTACGCTGTGGGGCAGCAGTCTGCACTGCAGAGGGAGAGCACGGCCGGCCCTATGTGCATCCTGTACTATGGTGGGGCTGGGGTCGCCCAACTCAGCTCCCTCTATCCCACCCAGGGTCAGGGAGACTTTCCATATCACCTGAATGAGAAAATGAGTGTGTGTGCGCACGCAACAAGAGTGTTGTGTGTATGCTTAGGAGGGATGTGGGTGTCTCTAGTTGTGTGTATGCCTCTCCATCTGTAATATACTTTTTGTGTGCCCAGGAGTGTGGTGTGGGTCTCTGTGTTATGGGTCTCAGTGGTTCTGTAAATACCTAGAAGTGTGCGTACCTCTGTATGTAGTGTGGGTCCTTCTGTTTGTTGTATGCCTAGGAGTGTTGCATGGGTGTCTGTGAGTGTCGACCATGTGTCCTGTTCTGTTGTGTGTGCCTGTCCAACTTGTGAGTGCCTTTGTATCCTATGGCTATGCCCTGAGGGTTGTCTCTGTATTGCATGGGTAATCCTTCATGTTGTGTGTGTCCCTCTAATTGTTGTGTGGATTTGGGTGATAGGAGGAGGGCTGTGTGTGTGTCTGTGCCCAAAATCGTGTGTGCTGCTGGGCAAGGAGGCTGGCCAGGAGCACCTATCCTTGCCCCGTACTCTGAGCACTGGGCTGAATGACTGTGGGTGCCTGTGCAGCTGGAGAGCAACGTGTGCTCTGGAGCCTGCATTGGTTGCAGGTCTCTCCATCTCATGGGTCTCAACGTGCGTGGGCATCTCTGGGTTTGGTTGTGTAGATCTGAGTTCTAGGGCTTTGTGTGTATGTCTCTAGGCTGTACATGTGTGTGAACAAGGCTTACGTGCAAGGCCTGGGGTCCAGTTGCTACATGCTCACCACCACAGCCCCAGGCATGCACACACTCACTTTTCTATCATCCAGTCACTGTATAAACAAACTTTCCCTTTTCCGGAAAAGGCTCCCACCCTTATCCAAGCAGAGGCGGAAAGTCTGGAACTTGGGGGTTGTGGAGGGAGGGCCAGGCAGACAGGGCTCTGGGTTCAATTTTGAGCTAGGAGGCACTGTGTGACCCCCCAGCTGCTGTCTACCTGTCTGACCTGCCTCTTCTGGGAAATGGCTCCTAATGTAACTCCCGCTGGATGGGCTCCCCTCAGCACCACCCCAGCCCTGGCCGTCAGCCCCCTGCCCTGACCATGCTCTGCCTTTCCACCCTACCAGCTCAGCAGCACCACGTACCCCGTGGTTGTGAAGATGGGACACGCACACTCTGGGATGGGCAAGGTGAGTCCCCGAGCGGTGTGTCCCCATGTGTGTTTGTACATGGCGTATGCGCCTGACATTGTGCACACGTGTATAGATGTATATTGCATATTCAATGCACATTGGTCATGTATGTGATTGGGTTTCCTGTGGTGTTTTTATCGATTTGCATATTTCCCCTCACATTCTTAGATTTTGTTGGCCCAATTTTCTGTCATGCACTCAGCCAAGTTTATGTGTCCTGTTATTTTGTTAGTGTATACAACATTATTTCTGTGTATATCCATGCCTCTGTGTTGAACACACACTATGTAATCTTCTACATTCAAGGGTCTTGTGGTACTGTATGCTTTCCATACATCTGACTTTGCCTCTGTGTACGTAGAAAGCAGACTTGTGATTTGTATGTTGGAGTGTGTCCATGCTTCTGTTTGTATATTGTGTGTACAACTAATTTTGTGTCTGTATGCATATACTGTATATACACACAATTTTCACACAGCTTTATTGAGATATAGTTCACATACCATAAAACATATTCACTTAAGGTGGACAATCCAATAGTGTTTATTATATTCACAGAGTTGTACACACCCAACTTTGTGTCTGTGTGTCCACGTAAAAACCAAGAAGCCCAGAATTATGCATGTGTGAGTGCCTTGGTGTGTCCACCGAATTTTTATGTACTCAGCTCACCTGTGTCATTTGTGTGCACGCCCCTGCCTTGAGGCACCCCCAATGCCCACTGCTGCGCCACCCTGCCCAGGCCCTGATCCCCACCCCACTCCCACAGGTCAAGGTGGACAACCAGCATGATTTCCAGGATATTGCAAGTGTCGTGGCACTGACCAAGACGTATGCCACTGCCGAGCCCTTCATTGATGCCAAATACGATGTGCGCGTCCAGAAGATTGGGCAGAACTACAAGGCCTATATGTGAGTGGAGAGACTGAGGCCCAGGCATGGGTCCCCTGCCCTGCCCTGGGTGGCCCAGGTCCCCCTGAGTCTCTCTCCTCTCTCCTTCTGCCCGCCAGGAGGACATCAGTGTCAGGAAACTGGAAGACCAACACCGGTTCTGCGATGCTTGAACAGATTGCCATGTCTGACAGGTGGTTGGCCTGAACTAGCGGGGAGGGGAAGTGAGGGTGGGAGTGTGGCTGCCCAGGTAAGGCACTGACAGGCTTCCTTGCCCCACGTCTTGGCAGGTACAAGCTGTGGGTGGATACGTGCTCAGAGATTTTTGGGGGACTGGACATCTGTGCAGTGGAAGCGCTGCACGGCAAGGACGGAAGAGATCACATCATTGAGGTGGGAGCACCCAGGGACTGGTGAAGGAATAGGTGGGGGAGCAGGTGCACGGCAGCAATACTCCATGAAATGTTGCGGGCTCTATGGCCCAGAAGGTCCTTAGCGAATGACAAAATGTTTAGTAAACAGTGCCTTGTGAGCTAGGACACCCTGGCAAATGGCAAAATACTTAGTCAACTCTAACCTGCTTTGTGAACTTGGACATCCTTAGTGAATAGCAAAATGCTTGTTAAACTATAAAGCGCTCTGTGAGCTGAGCCCATTTGGTGAAAGGCAGAGCACTTGATAACCTTTAAAGTGTTCTGTGAACTGAGAGGTCCTTGGCAAACAGTAAAGCACTTTGTAAACTATACTTTGTAAAGAGTACTCGCTGATACTAAAGCATTCTGTAACCTGTAAAATAACTTATAACTCAGGATGTGCTTGTTGAACAGCAAAGTGCTTTATAAAACTATAAAAATGGAGCTCTGTAAACTGGGAAGTCATTGTTATTAAAGCAAAACACTTTCAAAATTCTAAAGCTCTTTGTAAACAGCAGTGCCCCTGGTAAACAGTAAAGCAATTTGTAAACTATGAAATGCCTTGAAAATTCAGAGTGCTTGGTAAACACTAGTGCTTTATACACAGTAAAGCATTTTGTAATCAATGGTGCCCTTTGCAGAGCACTTTCTATACTGTAAACATACCATATATTTCACAGTCCTTTGTAAAGGGCAAGGAGCTTTGTAAACTGTAAAGTACCATGTAAACTACAAAGTTCTTTGTAAAGGACAGAGCACCTACCAAGCTATAAAGCGGGGATTAGCAAACATTGTCTGTCATGGGCCAGACAGTGCATATTTTAGGCTTTGCGGCCAAATGGTATCAGTGAAGCTACTCAACTCTGTAAAAGCAGCCACAGACAATATGTTAAAAAAAAAAGCGTGGCTTCGTTCCAATAAAACTGTATAGACATTGAAATTGAAATTTCATATAATTTTCACGTCATGAAATCTTTTGATTTTTTTCCAACCATTAAAAAATATAAAACCCATCCTTAGCTTAGGGGCCATAAAAAACAGGTTCTGGGCCAGATTTGGCCTGTGGACCCGAATTTGATGACTCCTGCTAGTACCTCATAAGCTGTTAAGTACCTTGGAGGAGAGGAGCCTTCCTCGCACTGCACATCAGTGCCTCTCAAACTGAAGCTCATTTCTGTGGCAGCCATCATGCCTTCTGCCAACTTAAAGCACTTTGTCACTGTCACCCCTCACATGCACTTCCTGCTTCTCTCCTCACTGGGTCCCTTTTCATCCCTCAGGTGGTGGGCTCCTCCATGCCACTCATCGGTGACCACCAGGATGAAGACAAGCAGCTCATCGTGGAGCTCGTGGTCAACAAGATGGCTCAGGCCCTGCCCCGGCAGCGGGACGCCTCCCCCGGAAGAGGCTCCCACAGCCAGGTTAGCTAGTGGTGGGCATGCCAGCCTTTAGTCATGCTGTGTCACAGAGCTGATGGTCAGCAGGCTAAGGGTGTCACTATTACGTGTGGTGGCAATTACCAATTGTTTAAAAAATTGATAAGTAGCTGCTACCCTGACTTCCCTGAGTGCTTCCCAACTCCTCCCCTGGGAGTGAGTCCCCACCCTACAACCTGACATCCCCTCAGCTCAGCCACAAACACAGGCAATACACAGCACACAGAGAACCCGTGTTATTCTGATTGGTTGATGCTCCACTGGCTGGTAACTATTTTTAACCTCTCCTGCTCCACTCCTCTACCACAGACTTTGTCCCCAGGGGCCCTGCCCTTGGGCCGCCAGACCTCCCAGCAGCCTGTGGGGCCCCCTGCTCAGCAACGACCCCCACCACAGGGTAAGTGAGGGGCCAGCTTCCTGGGCCCCTACCATCCCGCAGCGCCCCCACCTCTCACTTGCTGGCTTTCACATGTGTACTCTCTCTGTCCCTCAGGTGGCCCTCCACAGCCGGGCCCAGGCCCCCAACGCCAGGGACCCCCATTGCAGCAGCGCCCACCCCCACAGGGCCAGCAGCACCTTTCCGGTCTTGGACCCCCAGCTGGCAGCCCCCTGCCCCAGCGCCTACCAAGTCCCACATCAGCGGCCCAGCAGCCTGTGTCCCAGGCCCCACCGCTGACCCAGGGTCAAGGCCGCCAATCCCGACCCGTAGCAGGAGGACCTGGGGCACCTCCAGCAGCCCGCCCACCTGCCTCCCCATCTCCCCAGCGACAGGCGGGCCCCCCACAGGCTACCCGGCAGACATCCGTCTCTGGTCAGGCTCCACCCAAGGCCACAGGGGCCCCACCGGGTGGTCAGCAGCGCCAGGGCCCACCCCAGAAACCACCAGGCCCTGCTGGCCCTACCCGCCAAGCCAGCCAGGCGGGTCCCATGCCCCGCACTGGGCCACCCACCACACAGCAGCCGCGGCCCAGTGGCCCAGGTCCCGCTGGACGCCCCACCAAGCCACAGCTGGCCCAGAAACCTAGCCAGGACGTGCCGCAACCTGCCACCGCTGCTGCCGGGGGACCCCCGCACCCCCAGCTCAAGTAAGGGGACCCCACAGCAGCCCTTGCCTTGCTGTTCCCAAAACCTGCTCCTGCACCAGGAGGGCAGTCCCAGCTCCTCAGTCCCAGATCCTATCCAGGGGTCCTGAGAGCTCTCTCTCCAGTCTGGGCCAGACACCCCCCCCCACCACCCCGCCTCAGTCCAGAGAGGCTCCTGCCCTCCATCCCAGAGATTCAGTGCCAGAATCCCAGAGAAACCCCTTTCAGTTCAGAGTCTTCCTAATAGGCCCTGTGCAAGTCCCCTGCCCCAGCCCCTCTGAACCCACCCCAAGCACCTTGCTTGGCCCTCCTTCAGTACCTCCCAGCCCATGAAGTCCTCCACCCATCTCAGAGCCTTTCCTGCCAGTCATCCTCCTCCTGCCCAACCTGACTCCTCCCACCCCCACCCCCGGCCCAATTCACAGTCCTCCCATGTCACTTTACACCCTTCCCAGTTGTCCTCATACTTTTCCTAGTCTAGGCTCCTTTCTGGTCCATCCCCAAATCCTTCTAGTCCATCTGTCTCCTCCCACATCATCACACCATCCCCTCTGCCTCTTGTGGTCCATTCCAGATCTGCCCCCACCTTAGCTCAAGTCCTCACTGCCCCACCTAACTGCTCCCCCGTCGATTTTCCCTTCCCAGTCTGTCCTTGGTCAAAGCCCCCCACTCCCTCCTACACTCCTCACCCTTAGATTGGAAACTGCCCTGCCCATCTTCACCTTTGTATCAAACTCCTCCCAGTCTAGCCTAGATTTGAAGAGAAAATTCAGCCCAGGACCCTGCTCATTAACCCCCGACTTCACCTTGGATCCAAATCCTCCCAGCCTGGCCCAGGGCTCCCTGACTACACCTGAGAATCCATCAGGGGCCAGGCCCATGCTGCCGGGTGGGAGGGTCACAGGCACCGCCCCAGGACCAGAGGGGCAGGGCTGGGGCCGGGCCTGGGGTAACGTTGTGTTTCTCTCCCCCTCCTCCCTTCCTCTTCCCCCCTTCCTCCCACGCCTCCACCTTGTCTCTCTCTAGCAAATCCCAGTCTCTGACCAATGCCTTCAACCTTCCAGAGCCAGCCCCGCCCAGGCCCAGCCTTAGCCAGGACGAGGTGAAAGCTGAGACCATCCGCAGCCTGAGGAAGTCTTTCGCCAGCCTCTTCTCCGACTGACACCCCACCCTGAGAACCCCCAAATCCCTGGGCAACCCCTCTCTGGGCCCAGAATCCATTTCTCACTTTTGGAATCTCCAACTCTCTCAAGAAGCCCTCTCCTGGTTCACCAAGATCCCTCTTCTCACTCCTCAGAATGCCCAAGTCCCTCAAGAAACCTCACTCCTGGTCCTAAACCCAGTCAGTTCTCACGTTTGGAATTCCCAAGACCTCTGGAAGCCCACTCCCGGTCACCTCAATACCTACTTCTCAGTTTCAGAACCTCCAGATTCCTAAAGACCTCCACTCCTGGTCCCCCAGAGTGCATTTTCCTTCCCAGAAGCTCCCAAACACCAGGCAACCCATTCTGGCACTACCACCACTGTGTCCCTTCCTGGAACCCTGAAATTCCCGGAAAACCCTACTCCTGGTCCCAGATCTCTCAAGCACACTTTGTTCCCCATCAGAATTTCCCAATTCCTTAAGGAAACCCTACCTTTGAGCCCCTTCCATGGATCTCCTATTTCTGGAGAACCACCTCTTCAAATACCACCACCCAGCCCCACAAGGATTTCCCTTCACCTGCCCCCAGCCCCATTCAACACATTGAGAGCTCCTCCCACTGCTAGGATCCCTCAGTTCCCCCAGGGACCCCTGCCCCACTTTCCTGCCTCTGACAGCTGTCTTTAAATATGCAAACTCTACCCATCTTCCCAGAATCCTTTGCACACAGAAGGCCAGTGGTCCCCCACTTCCCACCTTTGCTGTGATGTCTGTGTCTGTGACTGGCGTGGCCTCCTCTTGTGCCGTGCTTGGCATATGTGGTCCTCGTTCATCGTGCCGCCTGTGGTGATGCGTGCAGTGGCGCTGTTTGTGTGGTGCGCACCTCCCCCTAACCTCCACTCCTTGCCTGGACTCATCCCCACCCCTCAGCGGCTCTGAACCCCACGAGAAGAGTCGGGAAGCAAAATAAACAAGCAAAGGCCCAGCAGAATTCTGTGCTTCTTGGTGAAGAAAGAAGGGAGTCCTTGAATGGCGGGGGGAAACACAGAGGGGACCCCCAAATCCACATGGGGTGCTGGGGAACCCAAAATCCAGTGGAAGGCACATCAGGCACAAATTCCAGAGAGGTTCTGAGTGGAATCCCTGCCACAAATCTCAGCCATTGGAGATGGAGGAGCTCCCAAATTTAGAAATCCCCAAAGCCAAGAGGAAACCAAACTATGGAGGAGGCAAGGGTCTCAGTCTTTGGGGGGTTCCCCAATTCCAGAGGAACTGGAAAAGCACATGGGGACCCCCTTGTCTCCCAGGGCAGGGATGGGGGATCCTGAGGCAGTATCAGGGCAGAGACAGAACATTGATTGGTTGGTGGGCAGGGCTCCTTGGCGTGGCAGGCTGAGGTTGGCTCCCTGGTGGCTGAGGGCAGGGCCTAAGGCACAAGGCGGGCTGCGCTGAGTAGGCAGGCGGGTAACTCATCAGCCTGGGTGCGGTGCAAGGAGGGTTCGGAGGCACTCCGCTCAATCTTGGGGAGTGACCGCTGCAGCAGCTCAATCGTGGCCAGGATCTGGGGGCAGGTACGCATGAGGGGTGTCCAGAGCCACACAAGCACCCCACCACCACCAGACCCCAGACACCACAGGGAAGCATACACACACACATTGCACACCTCTGAGACTTCAACACACACATGGTTCACATTCAAACCTCGGAGTCTTCCTCCTTCTCAGAGTCCCCTCCCCAAGGTGTCCAGCCCTGCTACCCGGCCCACCTGGGGGAAGAGGGGCCGCTCCTCCCGCTGGAACTTGAGGCAGTCAGACAGCAGGCGCCGCATGGCCTTGGGGCAGTTGCTGGAGATTTTGCTGAGGTCCGGGGACAGATAGCCACGGCCCACCATAAAGATAATCTGGGGGCGGGTGGGACAGGAATGACTGATCTGGGCTGTGAGGCCCAGGGAATTTGGGGTCTTGAGGGACTTGGGAGGTTCTTTTTGGGGAACTTGGGTATTCTGGGTATTGGGGCTCTGAGGATTGTGGTATCTTGTGAATCCAAGGATTCTGGGGCTCTGAGGCCTGGGAAGGATTCTCTGCTTACAGGACACAAGGCTTTAAGCTCTGGGTAAGTCAAGGATTGTACAGGTGTCAGGGTCAGAAGATTATGGGTCCAGTCCACAGACTTCTAGGGGGCTTAGGGACCTGGAAAGTACTGAGTCCAGGGGAAAAGTGAACTGGGTCTGGAGGGCGCTAAAGGATTCTAGCCCTTAGGAGCTTGTATCGCTGTGGGGCTCTAGGGCCTAAGGACTACGGGTCCATATAGCCTGTGGGACTACTGGTATCTATCTGGAGTCTAGAGGATCCTGGGTTTCTGAGGGCCAGGGAAATGCCAAGCCTTGAACCTGGAGAACTGTAGAAGTCTGGGGCCTAGAATAGTGTGGGTTCAGGGCTCCAAAGCCTACCAGACGTCCAAGGCCTGAATGACTGTGGGTATCTGTGAGTATTTCAGAAGTACAAAGCGATTCTGTTTCTGGGAGAAATGGGATTCTGGGCTTTGGGGATTTGCAGGATTTTGAGTACCTGGGCCAGAGGACTGGCAGTTGTCTAAGGGGTCTTCTGTGTAAGAGAGCTTCTGGGTGTTTGGGGGCCTAAAGGGATTCTGGATATAGGGGAGTCAGGAGATTCCGGACTTTGAGAACCCAGAGAATTGTGGATGTGGGGGAAGGAGGGGATTCTGGGTATGGGAGACCCAGAAGACTCTCAGAGTTCAAAATTTTGGGTTTCTGGAGGAAGTGTGACAGTCTTGGTCTGTGCAAAGGAGATCTGGGGTTTGGTGGCTGAGGGAATCGCTTAGCCTGGGAAATTGCGGGTAAGGTGTGGGGCTTACCTGGTCACGGCTGCCAATGTGGCTATAAGGCAGGGAGCCAGTCATGAGCTCATACAGCACAACCCCATAGGCGTAGACATCTGACTGGAAGCTGTAGGGGTTCGGGTCCTGCATACGGATCACTTCAGCCGCCTTCAATAGGCCAAACCAGGCAGGGGGACCAAGGAGGTCAGCAAATGGCCGGCCCATAGTCCTAGATCCCACTGACCACACTGGATACAACTCAGAGCCACCCACACAAGGTGAAACGTGAGCAGTCCAGACACCCACACTTGGCATAGGCATCCCCATCCCCACTTGGCCCCCCACATCCCAGCCCTGCAGCCCACGTCCCTATACACTCCCAGTCCAGCCCCTGGCCCAGCCTGGCCCAACTCACCATCCACAGCACAGAGCCTGACGGCTGCTCCAAGGGCTGAGCCCCGCTCCACCGCGTCTTCACTGTGGCCAGGCCAAAATCACCGATCTTCACTGTGAGTCCCTCGTGTAAAAAGATGTCCACCGAGGTCAAGGGCCACTACAGAGACTCCCAATAGCCACACCTCTCACCCTGACTGAGGCTCTCATTAACACCTCCATACCAGTCATGCCTCTGACCCTGAGCAGAAGTCCCCAAATGTCACACAAACCCGCCATAACCTTGACTTGAGTGGGGAGCTCCTATTAGTGCCCCCACACTTGCCCCCTTGGGACTCCTGACCAGGTAGCCCCTCTAAGGGCACCCATACCTGCCATGCCTGTGACCCTGATCAGAAACTGCCTATAATGCCCTCTGCAATGGTCACACCTCAGACTCTGACCAGAGTCCCCAAGAACAGCACCTGAACAAGCCACAACTCTAGACTCCTGACCAAGAGATCCCCATTAAAGGCTCCTCACCAGCCATAGCTCTGCCACCAGGCAAAGGCCATGTGACACATGTCCGTCCCTATTCACTCCCAGAAGCACCCACACACACAGAGCCATCCATCTAAGTCTCCACCCCACCCCAGTCCTTAGATGGGAACAGGTAGATACTGTTCGACTTGAGGTCTCGATGGATGATGTTCTTGGCATGTAGGTAGCTGTGGGGGTAAAAGCAGGTGCAAATTGGCTGGGGACTACTTCATTTTCCTCCCCCAGATCCCCCACACCCTCCCTACTCTCCGGGCTGGGAGCTTACTCCATGCCCTGGGCAGTCTGCCGGGCCACATCTATGAGCTGGACCATGTCAAAACGTGTGTCGGCAACATGGAGGTGGTGGTAGAGACTGGAGCCCTCACACCACTGTGTGATGATGGCGAACCCAGGCCGGGTCATGAAGCCCATGAACAGCAAGATGTTGACGTGTCGTGTCTTCCTGTAGGCAGGGAGGGCAGTATCAGGGCAGGGGGGGGTGTATAGGGAGAAGCAGCAACTGTCACTCACTTTCTGAGCATCAGGAATGACACTGTACACTGCTGACTTCTGTCGTCATTTCCACCCTGTCTTTCAGGAGGTTCAGGGCCAGACTGTGGCCAGATTCAGTGAATTTGTGAGACATGTTTGCTGGGCTGACTCGGTGATGGAGCTTATGTCCTGACCTTCCTCATCCGAGTCTCCCAGCAAAAGCAGGATGGATGGATGACCGCCCCCCCACCTCCGCAGACCAGTAGTATCTTAACCATCAACACCAGCCACACCTCTGACCCTGACTGTAACCTGGGCCTGTGACCATTTTAGAGATGAGAAAGTGGAATGCCAACCTTCTTCATATATCATCACAATACTGATAAATGCCAGGTAAAAATATCAGTGGTGTGTGATTATATCCTGTTTAATCACCACGAGAGGCCTAGAGGTAAAGTTTAGCTTGGGGTTTGGACTCAAGTTAGCTCCTATGTTCCAATCCAGGCTTCACCAGGTATTCACTATGCAACCTCAGGGAGGACACTTCACCTCTCTGTGCCTCATTTTCCTCAACTGTAAAACTGTGATAATTATATTAGCGACCTTATGGACATGTTGGGAGATGTGAGCAGATAATCTGTAAGGAACTTAGAACAGCACCTAACACAAGTAAGCCCTCTGAAAATTTCACTGTTCTTGTTGTTATTGCTCCTGGGTACCTGGCTCTCTGTCATGTATGAATAGATCTGCCCTAATTGAGAACCTTCATTCCTTAAAGAAGTATTAACTCCAGTTATGGTAACACAACTGCAAATACAGCTGACCATTGAACAATGTGGGCTTCAACTGCATGGGTCCACTTAGACACAGATTTTATTCAATAAATACCAGTACTGTTTTCAGTCTGAGGTTGGGGTCCGTGGATGCAGAGGACCAACTTTATGCAGTGATCTACGCTATTTAATATAAGGGACTTCAGCATCCGTGGATTTTGGTATCTGCAGGGGGTTCTGAAACAAATCCCCCATGTATATTGAGGGACAACTAAGTTTTAGGGGGGTCAAAAGTTATACATGGATTTTCGACTGCATGAGGAGGTCGGCACCCCTAACCCCTGCACTGTTCAAGGGTCAACTGTACCATCAATGATGCTCTGCACTTTTGCCATGTCAGCGCAGATAATACAGCACATGAGCATTCTTCATAGCAGTCAGATTATGGTTAAAATATTTAAAAAATGCAAATTAGCAGCATGTTCAAATCATTGCTATTTCAGACAGAAAGAAAAGTTTTCTTACTGTGGCATCCATTATGAGAATAAATATTAAAACAGCACAAGGAATTATGATAACATCAACTCTGTAACATAATTGTGCCCATTTGTCAAGGGAAAGCCCATGCTAGCAACCCTAGGAGTGGTAGTAACTAGAGTGGCAAAAGGGAATACCAGGGTTTCTCAGTGCAAATGAATTAGTATAGTATTAATGATATATTGAGTAACTATTACCATTAATTAAATAATGACTAAATAATGGTTATGATTATAGTTAATACAGTTGACCCCCAAACAATACAGGGGTTAGGGGCACTGACCCCCCATGCAGTTGAAAATCCACACATAACTTTTGACTCCCCAAAAACTTAACTACTAATAGCCTACTATAGACCAGAAGTCTTAATGATGATATTAAACAGTTGACTAACACATATTTGTATGTTGTATGCATTATAACTGTATTCTTACTT